GCGAGCCAATTTAGTTTTAGTTTCGCGCAAGTTAAACCTCTACTGAGGGCAGGGGTTTCGGCCGGGTTTCCCGTTCGCGGTTCTGCTGATTTGATTGGTTGTCTACACAGGAGTGGGTGGGCACAAGAAAGGGAATGTCGATTGTATAGCCTAACCTCTCATTGTTGACTATTATAACCGCAAATGTATTTATAAAGGACACATCTGAAGTCTCCAGTCTCTATTTTTAAACGCATGGGGAATTTCTTAGTACACCATCGCTTGAGTGAAGTGCATAATATGTGTATTTTTTTTCTACTTTGAGTGAAATATAGTATATATTATGAGGAACAAACTATGAAGCCTGCATTTAAAAGACCAAATAGGACACCGCCTCAGGTTGATAAGCTGGGACCAGCTTTTCCACTACCAGTACTTATCACTTCCAACGAACATTTTTTCAGCTCTCTGTCTTTGAGGTATTTATTTATGTGAACATTAATGTATAGTTTATGTTATAGAATGGTCAAAAATTCGTGGCCCAACTTATCTTCAAATATTTCTTTAACGGGTGAATTAATGTCACCCATACTTTTCACAGCAGTTTATATCAATTTGTCTTTACTTACTAAAACATATTTTTTCACAATAATTTAGACTAAATTCAAAAACTTTTCTTCATAAATTTATAAAGAATACTATAAATCTCCGTCACTCAGAAAATGGGATTGTGCACAGCACTTCCCGCTTCTCATACATATTTTGCGTATGTAATGGCCTACGTCACAGCTCACCAATGACACTTTTTAGTGGCCAAACTTGTTACGAAAAATTCATTTTATAGTGAACAATTTTTTACCCTAAAGGTTGTCAAAATATGTGTTCAATAAGCATAGTCATAGTGTCGCGATTAGGGAAATATACTACCCCAGCTGTAAACCTTTTAAAATCTGTTGAAACCATCCACTGGGTTTTTTATTTATGTTTATTAAGGAATTTTCTAGAATATAGTTAATAGTTGTTTCTAAAAATATTGATCAGTTAAAACAAATTGATGCAAGCCACTGCAAAAGCTGGAGAGTTTATGTTCGATGGTTTCCGAAAGTATTTGACTAAAAGTTGCGCCACTAATTTTTGACTGCACTTTAATGTTAGGAGCAGTGCTTTTACCCCTCAACTCTGTTTTTTTGTTAAAACTTTCCTTGTATAAAATTTATGTAATGTTTTCAAGAATCAACAGTTCAATTGTAGAAATGCTCTGGTATCACTTTACTTGGGGCATGCCTGTTGATCCTGAGGTATGAATGACTCTAGCTTATATGGAACTGGATGACTGTGAATGGAATCCAGACAGTGGAAGGAGTAACTGGAGCCTCAATTTTCTATCTGTGGGAATTGTCTTTTTTAGATTTATTCTTGGACTAGAATATAGGTTCTGTTTTAGGGATGATATTTAAGTTTAAAGGAGAACAAGATGGTATCATACATACAATTCACGCATTCAAGTCAGTTTATTTAAAACAACCAGGTTGAAGAATCTTTTAATATTATTTTCTAGTCAGTTTTTTTTAAAGCTTTTAATAACCAGATTGAAGAATGTTTGAGTATTGTTTTGCCTAGGAAGCATATTATCAAGAAGCAATGAGCGGACTTAGTTATAGTAAGAGTTTTACGGCACTTGCCACACAATAAGGTCATAAAAGTGCCCAAGATTTGAGGTTTTACAAGAGAGTAACAAACATAAAAAAGAAGGAGGAAACATCAGGACGAAGGATGCTTGATAGGAAAGAAGGAGCAAACCACACACGAGCACCCGCCAACCGCCCACAATGAGGGGACTGAGATGCGGATGATGAGTAGATAGTTGCGGTTATTACTGACCTGAAGACGATAATGGCAACTGATGATGACAATGATAATGAGGACATTTATTCTTGCACTGATTAATAGGGCTAGGTGACCATTGTGATTGTAATTATGATATAATCTAATCATTTTGCGTAAGGTGTTGAGACGTGAGGCGAGTAGGTGGTTGGCGGATACTCCGGTTTAGTTTGCTCCTTCTTTCCAAACAAACATCTATCGTCATTATCTCTCCTCCTACTTTTTTGTGCTTGTTACTCTCTTGTAACACTTCTAATCTTCGGCACCTGTAAATTATGACCTGATTGTGTTACAAGTGCTGTAAAAGACGTACTAAAACTAGACCAAAAATGTGAGACGACCATGATGATAGTAGCCTTTAAGGTCTATAATGAGTGCCTGTAACTGATTCCTCACTGCGTACCGATATCACAATAATTTCTGTTGGAATAGAATTCATTTATTTAATTTTTTTCAATATATATAAAGAAAGGTGGTTTAAAACAGCAGCTATCAATAATGCTTTGTTGTAGAAAGCTGTATGTCAGAAGAAATTCATGTGCAGTAGTAAAATTAGCGTTTGTGAATGTTAATAAGGAAACAGACAGAATTAGTCAAAAGTTAGAATGAGGCAAAACATGAAATGGCAATCAAAACCCAACCTGAAAACCTGGTTCCTGGGAAGTGACCTCCCCCCGGGGCGGTGTCACTGACTGTAGTGTCTTTAGGCCATTCCCAAAGGGGGGATATTTCTCGTTCAAGCACAGTAGAATTGTAAATGGGCTGATTCATGTCCCGCTCATAACTGTGCCTTATCTACAACAGGGAACTGCTGCTTTTTCTTTCCTATTACTTACTATTTCATTTTCCTCTACTTCTTTGGTATGTTTGTCACTCTCTTGTGACCTGCTATTTCCGGGGTGCCTTGATAGTTGAAGCAGACTTTGTGCTGTTGAAGCTAGAGAGGTGAGCAGAGTAAGTCCTGATTCCCTGTAAAGACTTCTCTGT